GAAGAGCGGGTTGCTTACCTGTAACTGATATTCTTCGAGTGGCCATCTGTGCAGTCACACAACCCACCCTCCGACCCCGCTTGGTGTCATGGGTGGTCCGACTATTTCTTTCAATACTATGATCTTTTTGCTATGTGTCGCACCACTACTGAATTTGGCTATCTTGTCATACTGACAAACCTTATTATAAGAACAAACGTCGGTCTTTCAAAGATTGGAAAATGGCGGACGCTCCGCTCCTTATATACTGCTAGGGGGGAGGGGGAGCGGAGTTCCCGCCAAAAACCGTTAGCTGTTAATCTTCCGGCCAAAGGCACTGCGCAGGCGCAGAACCCATATGTGTGACTGCACAGATGGCCACTCGAAGAACATCAGTTACAGGTAAGCAACCTGCTCTTCAACCACCTCCCGTGGAAGTCCTTCCTGACATCTAAATTGAGCCTTGGTTCCCGGAGCTTTGCTCCCTTGGAACACGTCCTGCCCTCCTCTGCAGGGGAGAACATGCCTGTCATGTTGTAAGAACTCAGCCGCTTATTAGCCAGACAAGACTCAGGAATGCCAGCCCCTTTCCTGCGCAGGGCCATGCCCTTCCTGATCAGAAAACCCGTGAGCCAGCTGTCAAGCTGCACGGTGCCTTCGCGGCTGTGGTGGGATCAGCTGGAGCTGCAGTGGCGACTCCTTGGGAGCAGCTCCACTGGTCGGCCGTCTCTGCCCCTGCCTGGGGAGGGCAGGACCAGCTCCAAACGCGAACTGGCCGAGCCCCCGGAAGGCGACTACAGACCCGCCGGGCTCCCCCTGTAAAGCGCCCCAGCTGCCTCTCCACACCCATTCCTGAACCCGGCAAGGGCAGCCGAAGCCAAAGGAGCCGTCCATCTCCATTCCAGTACACAATCAACTCTGCGTCGGCAAAAATGATTTCCTTTATAATTTCTAGTGAATTTTTGCCTTTGTTAACTGCCCAGCTATTAAGCAGTATAGAAATGAAATGAATGCATATTGCTCTCTGCATTTTATTGACTTTAATGTGTTGTGGACCTCCCAGAATGCTTTGGCTATTGGGCAGTACAGAATAAAATGAATCATCATCATCATCTCTGAAGCAAAATATTATGGTCTGACCTCAGTAGAAGCTCCACGGAGTCAGCTTTTACCATCTCTCTGCCCACCTCAAGAGCTGGCGCTCTACCAAGATGACGCCAGTTTTTCAGGCTAACTGGTGGTCTGTGTGCAGGCCAGAACTTTGTAGTAACTTAAGACAAAACCAAATAATTTTACACAAGGGGAAAGTAGGATATTAGCTCAGGGTCTGGAGAAATGCAAGACATGCAGTGGCCCGAAATACTGTCTTAGCTTGGATCCTAAAGAAGATGCCAGCCCTGTTCCCGAAGGGCTGAAAGTTGCCAGCATGAAGAAACTCCCTCTCATCTCCAGATGGCTGTGCAGATCTGTCCCAGTGAACGAGGTCGCGCTCTTGCACAGAGATGGAGCTGGATGGTATCACGGCTTCATGACACATCGCGTAGGCATTGGGCCTTTATGTTTCAAGTGTGTCTGTGGAAATCAAGAAAGTCACAGGATAGTTAATAACCAGCCCAGAAAGGGCTTATTGCTAAGTTTTCTTGTCACCTTCCTCCGTTCTGCACCTCCCTCGGCTCCACGTGGCAGTGGAGTCCCACTTGTGCCGTCTTTGACACTCGGCCACGTGAAGGGATGTGTAACATGGATGCAGCTGGTCTCCAGTCTCCAGGTGTGCAGCAGCCACCTTGGGAGCATGACTGGAGGGCAGGGTGCTTCTCATTAGGAAGCACTTGCAGGCGTGGGGTGAGCCCCTTGGCCTGTGCTGAAGATGCCATCTCACAGGAAACATAGAAACAGCGCGAGTCAGAAGGGGCCTCCCGGGCCATCTAGTCTGACCCTGGCTCCAGCCGGATCCGCTCACGACATGCCCACCATGTGCACGTCCAGCCTGTCCTTGAACACCCGCACCGATGGGGCCTCGACCACCCCCCGTGGAAGCCCCTTCCACAAGGAAGACATGCGGCAGCCTTCCGGGTGTGGGACCAACCTCCTACCAGCAGGCGGCCTTCTGAGAGGGATGGGTCACATGAAGCCCTGCACTGAGCAGGGGCTGCACCCTCTGGCCCCTCTAGCACTACTCTTCTATGGTCCCGCCACCTTGGCCTTCAGCCCAACCCAGCCCAGCCTGCTGCACATGTTTGGAGGGGCACTCCGGGGCCGCAGGAGGGGCTGCTGAGCGGCCTGGGCAGCACCGTTTCCAGGCACAGGCCAGGCTGGGCTTCAGGGCAAATGGCACCCTGCCCACGCCTGACCTCCCTCAGGGGCAGCAGCAGAGGGGCCCCATCTGTGGGCCGAGAGCACAGAGGCCCCAGAGCAACACAGGGCAACCTGCCTGCTCCTGGGAGGCAGCAGCACGGGGCTGAAGGAAGATGCGTGGCTGAAGCTCTGGGTGGCAGCTGGGGCCTTTCACTGGGAGACGGGCCAGGCCGTGCACTGGCGTCCTAGCAAGGAGCTCTCCCCCACTCTCCCCGCCTCCTCCTGCACCCACAAGAGCTGTGGCTGATGGCGAGGTCAGAGCTGGCCTCCCGGGCGGACCTGGCCCTGCGGCCTCCCGATGCTGCCCCAGCTGGCAGAAATGGAGGGCCACGCAAGCCCCTGCTGCTCTGTGGGCTGGGCCACGCACCTCGCAAGATCACAGGCTGGCTGGGAAGGGGCCACCGAGACCCAAAGCCTGCGAGGGTCTTTCCTGCTGCCACCCAAAACCAAACGACCTCGGAGGTCTTGGCAGGGCATCAGGGCACTACTGGCTTTAAGTGCTGGTCATTCTTTCTAAAGGTGCACATATACATTGTTAGCATTACTTCCATCACTGTTGTGATGTTGTCCTCTGGGCCGCAGAAAACGGATCGGTCAGGCAGCCAGCAGTGCCCCTCCTGGCAAAGGAGGCTGCTGTGGGGGACACCCGAGGGCCAGTGGTCCCATGAGTGGCCGGCCAGCTCAGGCCACGCGCACCGGGCAAGAGGCCTTGGTGCAGGTGGGGGTGCCCCCCCTTCTGCCTGGCCAAGTTGTGTCAGCCCTGACAGAGGGCTGGCCAGCCGGGATCAGGCCGGACTCACAGCCCTCCTCTGCAGCTGTCCACGAGCCGTCTGACAGGGATTCTCCTCCAGGTAGCGACTACCCAGAAGGCCTTGCCCAGCGCAGGCACCGGGCTTCTGCTTACACTGACAGTCTGCAGCAGGTGAATCACGCAGCCGGCTGCTTCTGCCCCCCCCCCCCCATGCAAATCAGATGCCCTTCAGACCCAGGGCTTGGGGAGGCCAAGGACACCCTGCACAGCACCAGCAGGCCGTGGAAGGAGGGCTGCGAAGCCGCAGGAGGCGCTCCAAGCATGCAGCCGTTTCCACGTCTTTCCCCTGCAGGAACTCACTCAGGGCCTGCCTGTGCTGGGACGCCGCTCTCTGCAGGCCTCAGGAGGCCTTGCCAGTGCAGCACACCTGGCACCACCGGGCACCCAAATGGCAAACCCCGGAAGAAAGTCCCCCTGAAAGGGCTGACCCCACAGCCCCGCTTGACTGTCCACACCTGAGGCCCACGCCTCCAGCACAGGGTGCAGCCACGGCACCAGGCCACGAAGCGAGAGGCACTGGGCGTGGCAGGAAGAGGCCAGACATGGAGAGCCAGCCCCCTGGGCGGGTGAGGGCCTGGACCCCTTTCACCAGAGGTGGGCAACTTCAGGAGGGCAGAACCTGCATGGCCCTCGCGGAGAGCCCCGTCATCTGGAAACGGATGTCGGGCGGAAAAAGCTTCTGAGCCTCGGCACAAGTTGCAATGGCTGAACGGAACTCGTAATCTTTGTGCCAAAAACGCCATGCAAGCTTATCCCAGCCAGGTTTTCCCGAAGGGAAATGAGAACAGGGCCGGGGATGGGAACAGGCCAGGGGCTTCTGGGTCCCCCTCTCCGCCTCTGGCTTGAAGAAGCAGGTTGTGGCAAGGGCAGACGTGGCACCCGGGTGTCCAGCTGCCTTTTCTCCAGGTGTACTGGGTGGGGCAGGACCCGGCCAGTCCTGCGGGCTCAGTGGGTACCTGTCTGCAGGCAGCACACCTGGGCCTTTCCGGGGCCTCCTGTCTCTGCCTGGTGCTTCCGCACAAGGAGGAGACACGATGGGGTTGCCTGAGGGGCACGTGTGGTGCCTCCTGCTTTGTCAAGGCGATGCCTCCCAGGCAGTCCAAGCTCCCAGACAGGACCAGGAGCCGCATTCCGGAGCTGAGCAAAGGCCCGGCCATCCCGCTGTGTGTGTGCATGGCAGAGGGAGGGAGCGAGAAACGGAGACAAAAATAGTCTCTAAAGAAAGGAAAATATGGAGCTGCGTTGCAGAGCTGGAATGTCTCCTGGACAGGGGGAGGTGAAGATGCTGGCTGGGCTGGGTGGGGACGAGGCATTTGGGGTGGGGAGGAAGGCCAGGCCTGGCCTGCTCGGAGGGACTACTGGGTCACGATGCATGGGGCACACCGGGCGCTGCCCTCACACCTAAAGCAAGCACTGCATCCCGAGACTGGAGCGTTTGTGGCCCTGCTTGGGAGCAGGGGCGATGGTGACGGGCCAGAGAGAGCAGAGGGGCTGCGGGGATGGGCCTGGGGGTGCAGCGACGGGGGGGGGATGCTTGGGAAGAGAGCGGCCCCGGCCCCGGTGGGGGCTGGGCGGGCAGGCGAGGACGGCGCTGTTGGCTCTCGGGGGGCAGGCCCGACCCGTGCGCAGGGCTGCCGCAGGCGCGCGGAGGAGGGGAGCGCCGCGCAGGGCCCGGCCAGCTTGGCCGGCCGCCCGCCCGCGTCCCTCCCGCGCCGCCCGCCGGCCCGTCTCCGTCAGCCTGTCCCTAAAAGGTGCTGCTCGGCCGGCGAGGGAGGGACTGGCCCCTCCCCGGCTTTTAGGCAGAGCGAGCGGCTTGGGGCGCCCAGCCAGTACCGCCGCTCCCGACCCCGCTCGCCTCTCCGGCTCTCGCGCTCCCGCCAGTCGCCCGTCCAGCTCGTCGAGTCCTGCACTCGCCCGACCGCAGCCATGGAAGCCATCAAGAAGAAGATGCAGATGCTGAAGCTGGACAAGGAGAACGCCATCGACCGAGCGGAGCAGGCCGAGGGCGACAAGAAGCAGGCCGAGGACCGCTGCAAGCAGGTGACCCCCGGCCCCTTCCACACCGCCCCCTGGGCCGCAGCCTCGCCGGGAACAGTCCCCCCCCCCCCCCTCGCCCGCCGCCCCCGGCCCGGGAGGGGAGCTGGGAAGCACGCGGAGCCCTGCGGGGGTCCTCGCCGGGCGGCGGCGGCGGCTGGAGGGTCCCCCGCGGGGCGGGTGCCGAGACGTCCGCCCTGCCCGCAGGGACAGGGGAAGAAGCCCCTTCCCCGTAGTCCCGGCAGCCACCCTCCCGCCCTGCCCTCCGCGGGTCCGCCCGGCCGCTCGCGCATCCCTTCCCGGGCGCGATGCCGGCTGCGCCCTCGCCTGACTGCTCGTCCCCTTCCCCGCCGCGCAGCTGGAGGAGGAGAAGCAGGGGCTGCAGAAGAAGCTGAAGGGCACCGAGGATGAGGTGGACAAGTACTCGGAGGCCGTCAAGGAGGCCCAGGAGAAGCTGGAGCTGGCCGAGAAGAAGGCGGCGGACGTGAGTGCCTCGGCCGCGGCGCCTGCGGGGGGCGGGGGGGGGCGCCGAGGGGGTGTCGGGGGACCGGTCCGACCGGTCCTGGGCGGCGGGGTCCCTTCGCGGGGCGCGGGAGCGCGTGCGCCGGCGGGCGCCGCGGATGCTCAGGCTCGCGAAGACGCGCCCGCTGCCCGCGCCGGGCCCCTCCGGGCTGCGGGCGCGCGGGCGGATTGAGCCGTCACGGGCCCGTCGGGGTGGAGCGGGGCGCGGGAGCGGGCCCGGCATGCGCTGGCCCCGGCCCAGCTCCGCGCCGCCGCCCGCTCGGGCTCCGGGCGCACCAGTCCCCTCGAAGGTGGCGGCTGCGGAGGGACAGGTGGCTCCCGGCGAGGGCGGGCGGCAAGAGGCCCTCGGGCGCCCCCGGGCGCGGGAGGGGGAGGCGATGACAGGCCGCAAGCGCGGGCCAGGCCGGCGTCGAGGAAGCGGCAGCTGCCTCGCTGGAAAGACGAGCCCGCGCGGGGGACGCGCGGCTGGATGTCCGCGGGTATTTGGCACCCTATAAATAAATGCGCCTTCCGAACCGGCTGAGTTTCGGGTGACAGCCCATCTGGGGAACTGGAGGAGCCACTGAAAGGAGCCGCCGCCCGCCCGCCTGGAGCGTGGCCAGACGGGAGCGCCATGGGTCCGGGCAGCGGACTTGGAGGGGCTTGGGTGACCGAGCCCGCTGGCAGGCCACCCCGGAGTGTGGGCCCTGCGGGGCGCCCGTCTTGGGGAGCACCCCTCCTCGCTCTGCCCTGGGCCTGACCTCCAGCCCTGGCCTGGGCTGCTCAGGGTCCCCCCCCCCCCCCCCCCGCTTGGCCCCCTTGGACTGAGCTGCGGCTCGGAAGCCCCGGGCTCCCAGAGGCCTGGGGGCAAGCAAGGGCAGGTGCCACTGGCTGCCCACTGGGCACACAAGGCTCTGGCCATGACTAGAAACAGAGCCTCATGGGGAGAGAGGGAAAGCGTGGGGCACGAGGAGAGCAGGCTGTGGGGAGAGGCAGCTGCCACGAGAGCAAGGCCCGGACCTCTGCTCATTCATCGCGGGGTGTGGGACACAGAATCATGGGCTCCGGCTGCAGGAAGCCACGTCCCGGCTGGATACCCTCAGGTCCCTTCCAACTCTGTCGTCCATGGTATTCTGTGTCTCTGCCGCTGCCTTCCTGGCACTCGCCTTCTGGAGCAAGGGGCCGTCCTGGGAGGCACCTGGGCAAGGGGGTGCCAGGCTGAGGGCAGAGTCTTCTTCCAGCCACATGCTAATGGGCACAGTGTAGGGGTACCGCCCCCCACAGGCCCCATAGGAAAAGGTCCCTCCTGTGGCCCTCTGCTCTTGCTGAGGCCTGTGTGGGCCCACAGACTCTTCCACACACGACGGGAGCGTTGGAGAGGCACTGGCCAGACCTGCTCCAGCCAGGCCTGCTGCCTGGAAGGCGCTAATGTGAGCCAAGCTGGTGCTGATGGGTTTTGGCGGGATCCCTCCCTCCCTCCCTCACTCTGGGAGCCACCTTCCACCGCAGGCTTGCCTGGAAAGAGCACCAGCCCCTGCCGTGCTGCACCCGCTGGGAGCCATTGTCTGCCACCCTCCCTCCTGAGTTGCGGGGCACTGTCTAGCGGGCGACAGGGCTGGTGATCTTTAATGCCCGGCTCTTTCCAAGCTGCCTCGCCTTGCATCAGACCCAGAACGCACTGCAGAGAAGGACCTTCTGGAGGACCTCTGCTGGCCCTCCCCCCCTTCCTCCCCAGCCCCAAAGACAGCTGGAGGAGGGCCAAGGCTCATGCCCTGTGGGCCTGGGGAACCGGGGCGCTGGCCACTCCACCAAGAACAGCACAGACCCAGAACTTTGCTTGCAGTCCTTGCCTTGTGGAGCTGATGATTCCCAGCCCCTCCTGGGGAGGCGACTGCACATCACCCCTCCCCGTTGGCCGATCAGGCCCCAGCGCTGCTCTGCATCATTCCCTGCCTTTGCTCTTATTTGGCGATTCCCTGAGCAGGAGGAGGAGACTGGACAGCTGCTTGGCAATCCCGCAGCCCCTTCATCCATCCCCCCCCCCCCCGGGGTGGGGCTGGCACTGAAGCCACTGTGGGGACACTTGCCTGAGAATGCAACTGCCCTGCTGCCCCAGCCCGTGCGGGACCACCCGCCCCCACCTCCCCATTCGACACACAGGCTTTCCCCCCATGCCCCCCTCCCGCATCAGAGGGACACTGGCTCCTTCTCATGCATCGAGGTGCCCTGGAGAGCCCCAGTCTGCCTCGGACATCACGCTTCCGGCCACGTCCCTGGGCAGGGGCTGCAGGGGCTTGCGGAGCCACAGTGCTCGGGGGGGGGGGTCTTGGCACCGGTCAGGACTGCTGCAATGCCGTGGGAGTCCCAGGGTGCACCCCCCAGACCAGGGGGCATGGCTGGAAGCGCCCCCAGAATCCTCAGTGATGCCTTTGCCAGGCCTGCCCCACCCCCACCCCTCTCCAGAGCACATCCTCCCGGGCAGCTGCATCGCGGCCCAGCTCAGGGGGGGACGTCACTGCCTCATGGCTGGCGGGCCCCAGTCTGGGCAAAGGGAATCCAGGGAGCCTGGCCTTGGCAGGGGTTGGAGCCCCGCCTGGCCAGGTCCTGCTTGAGGCAGGGAGGGAGGGTGTTCCCAAGAGGCACCTTTGGGCGGCTGGCCCCTCGTGGGAGTGCTGCCCTCAGGCGGCCTTGGTCAGCAGCTCAGTCTCTTCATGCTCAAGGCATTCCCTGCAGTAAGACAGGCTGAGGAAGGGGTGGGGCGGCGGGGGGGGGCCGTGGCAGCAGACTCCCGGCCGAGGCAGAGCTTGTGCCTGCAAGAAGGCCAAGTCCCTGCCCAGGCCGGCCAGGCTCCCCTGCGACAGGCCCTGCCTCTTGTCCCGGGACACTTTTGCCCTCTGGAAGGGGGCCCCCAGGCAAAGGAGAAACCACAGCTCAGAGGAGGAGAGCGAGCCCATGCCTCAGCACTGCCTCGCCACCGCTCAGGTCACCCACAGTGCCTGCTCCGCTTCCCAAGGCGCTTTGTTCCGGGGTGCCAGCACGTTGCAGACCAGCCTGTGTGCCCCCCCAGGCACCTCACCCCTACAGCCACTCCCGTCCTGGACTGCCACCTGGGAAGGGCCGCAGCTTGGCAGTTGGCAAGCTGCCTGTGAGGCACCCTAAGCAGAAGAGGCAGGATCAGAGAGAGGCAGGAGGCAGGCAGAGTGGCGATGCAGCAGGAGCCAGCCGCTAGCGTGTGGGCAGCCTGGGGCAGCAGTGGGCTTGGGGCCCTTAATGGCTGCGGAGGCAAAGCGAGCCAAACAGAGCTGGGAGCTCCACGTCTCGGGCCCTGCCCCTTGTCAAGGGATGGACAGCACACTGACCTGGCCTGGGAAGCTGCAGTTTGTGGGGGGGGGTCCCCTTCTTCTCGCAGCTGCAGACAGAAGGAATCCTGGAAGTCTCCAGAGGCCTTCCCAAACTCCAGCTGCCAAAAGAAGGTGCGTGCTGGAGGCACTGCCCCCAACACTCCAGTGCAGAAAGGCAGCTGCTGCCACAAAGCACCCCCCGGCCCCGGCCGCCAGAGGCAGGTGGCCGGTCCTGGCAGCCTCCTCTTGCCTGTGCCCAGAAGTGGCCCATGGAGAGGAGCGGGGCTTCCCTCCCCACCCCAGCTAATCATGCCGGGGCGCCCACCTCTACCGCTTCAGTGGCACATGGAAGGACTCCTGGGTTCCGTGACGTCCCTGCTTTATCGGGTCATTCCCATGTGTTTGGTTTGTGGATCACTTCCTCATCCTTCATCTCTGCTTTTGGCAGCCAGCTCAGGCTCTTCTCACCTGTGACCACAAAGCACGATACCAGCATTTGATAGGAATGTGGCTACCCAATGTAAAGGCTACGTAAGTTCCAGGAAATGTTTCAGTTGGTCACGAAGATCAGCACTTTCCCACAAAGCCTCGCAATGCAAGCAGATGCGCGCAGCTTATCTGGTGTGGCAGCTTTAAAGCGTGCTGCACGTTCCTCTCTAAGACGCACCCGAAAATGATCTGAACCAGTCCAGACGGCTGCCTGTGGAAGCCCAGAAGTTCCAGGAACACTTAACAACGCTGTGCGGGAGCGAAGTGGCCCACGCTGCTTCGGGGTGACACAGGCCATCTTGCTGGCCACGGCAAACAGTGCTGGGCACAGAGCGGGACAGGGCTGCAGCGCCACCAGCTCTCGGGAGCAGCCCTCTTCTGAGGGGGCAATGGGGCTCCCAGACAGGGCGCTTCGCCATACCTCAGGAACATCGCTGGACCCCGGGAAGACGGGTGCCATAGCAAGCCCCTCTCAGTCTCCGTGGCAAGTGCTGTGTGGCCACTTACTCCCAGGGAGCACAAGGGCCAGGCCTGGATGGCTGCCAGACACAACGACCGGGCCCTCTCACAGATGGACGAATGCCACGGGCAAGGGGCCGCAAGTGAGGAAGCCACGTGGTGCCCTGGGGAGGCTCTGAAGGCCAGGCGCCTTGCACCAGCTCCTGGAAGTCTGCCTTGCGCTTCCTGACTAGCTGGCTTTTCCCACCCCGTTTTGGGGTGTGCTACTGAGTTTGCCTCTGGCACTGACCCCGATTCCCTAGATCCTTGCATCACAGTGAGGACACGTGGTCTGCGAGGGAAGAGAATGCAGCCCTTGCCCAACGTGGGCATCAAGGTCTATCCAGATGTCATGAGCAAGGAAGCAGGCCGCATGGGGGACTGCGGAAAACACAACCTCTTATCTGTGAGCACTGCCCAAGGACCCGGCGAGCATAGGGGAAAGGACCTTTAATTGGGATGCTATTTGCTGGTAGCCACTGGAAGAGCCTCGCTCGGCCACTGATTTGGCTCAGTCGTAGGATGCCCACCAAGTCACATCTCTTTAGATTGCTTGGGGAGTCATTCAAAACTCCCATCACATCAGTTCAGCAGGAATGTTGTGCTGCGGATCAGGAATGGTACCACCAAGTCCATGAAGTCACCAGCATGGTTA